GTTTGTTCTAATATTCTATCTGTATTTTATTTATAAAAGCTGAAGAAGATGGGAATATTAATAACATCTGAAGTATATTGAACAAAATCCTTATGCTGCATTACCCCTGGATGCTCTGACTTTTAACTTTTGGGAGTAAACCAAAATTTCAGATTTATTGTCCTGTACCCTAAATTTCCTGATATCAGCACTTACCAGATACCAAGGTCCTTGAAACATGCTTTATAATTTTCAGAGTTCAGTTTTGTGGCACATCTCTAATCGGTAGCCAGGAGACTTTTATGCAGCCAGAAGTAGATATTCAAGACTAAGTAAAGAATTTGTTCCTATCTGATCATTCAGTGTCCTTCTTAACATGTTTCCTGAAGTAAAGTTCATCATTTCAGACTTCATTGCTGGTGAATAGTTCTGTAGTTTTGCTAGACTTATTATGATAGAAATGAAGTTGGTAGTTTTTAAATGAAATGATAGATTTAAAAAAGAAATAATAAATATATAATTATTTTAAAATTCTGTGAGTTGTAATGGCAGACCAAGTCCCATTTTCTTAGAAGAAAATGGGTTAAATAAACTCACATAACCTAGCTAATATAAACACTTTTCTGATACAAATACTAAGCATCAGGTGAGACCATGTCCCATTGTGATGCACAGAAATACAGGAATAGACAATTTCTGCCTGGTGAACATTTATAAGCTGAGAAAGGCCAGAGAGGAAAGGGAATCATATGTTCATTTTATAAACAGAGAAAAAAAAAAAAAAAAAGGTGTAGAGAAATTAAAGATCATTCTTTCAAATGTCCCTAGGGCCAGGCTGTAAGATTTAGGTGCTTCCTGACAAAGTTAGCACTTCTGAAAATTTCACTAGGTAGTTACATGCTTAAATTTCATTACAGTAAGACCTGATTTTTGAAGTTACCTATAAAAAGGTTCTAAACCTGGATCTGTATGTCTAGGTTAAGTTGAGTCTTTCAGATAATGAGGTCAATATTTCACTGAACATCTGGACAATGATGAGTGGAACAAAACTGAAATACAAAAAAATTAAAAGCCTGTTTGCCACTTTGTACACTGCCTTTCATGTGCTTCAGCTGCACTTTAAAACTAAGGGACAGTCTCCCAGTTTATTTAAAAGTTTTTACAAAATTGTGCTAGTGGCCAGACAGAAATGTGTTAGAAAAGCTCTGTGTCAGATCTTCTGAATTCCAGACCTTCATCCTAAATACAAAAGCTTTATGTTAATGAGAATCCAACTGCATTTTACATACATATTGCAGTGTCACTATTAGATATTACAGTTGTGCATCAAAGATAAAGACAGCAGCTAGCATGCAAATGCCATTTCCAAAGAGAATAAAGCCCTTTTGAAGGCAGTAGAAACTGTCAAAGTTAAATTAAAAATTAAAAATCCATTCTGTGGGCTGCAGAGATGCTAGGCTGCCTGACAGCCCCAGAGCCAGGAAGTTTGAAAAACCTCTGAAATGCAATAGTAAGTTATCTGTGCTCACTGTGCTTCCCCCTCTACCTCAATCAACTTTTATACCACAGTGAAATACAACCACTGTGCCTACAAACTGTTCATCTTTGTCATAAGAAAAAAAAGCCCTCCTTGCAACTATTTTTTTAAGCATCTCGATTTATAAAGTATGGAGATTGGTTATGCCTTAACATGTAATGTATTGGTGTAAAAATTATAGACTTTGCAAATGTATTTATGATTTATTATTGATGTTAATGTACTGCTGCATGTTAGGCACTCAAAATGAAGATTGATATGGCCTTCAACATGAAAAACAGGCTACAGCCACAGGCAGTATTTTGATAAATTATTACATGCATTAAGTGTAGGTCTCAGAATCTGGAAGTGGGGTAAAGTGGGGTAATTTGCGTGTTTGTATGTATTTATTTTTTTTTTTTTTTAAATGCTGGAATACCATAGAAAAATACTGAGGATAAGAAGGGCAATGGGTGATTCCTGCCTTTTGCCATGTCTGTCCACCTTTCCTCCAGGTTTATGCCCCCATTGTGCAATAACTGATTTTTCTGAGTGTTTTTGTTTGGGTTCTTTCCTGTTTTATTGTCCTCCCCTGTCAAAAAGAAACAGTGTAGTAATAAAGGACACTGCTTTTGTTGTCATGAGCAATTTACCACCAGATACCTTACAGAACTTTGGAAGTCAGGTGTTTATTGCTTGCTGCTGCTGCTTGTGTTACATCTCAGCTTGCCTGAGTAAGAGATTATGACAAAAAGCTATCTATAATTAAGCAAAACCTTCAAACTGTACATTGTTTGAATTTAAAAAAGAGCAATGCTTTTATCACTGTCATGCATTGAGTTGAAATCTGTTTGGGAACAGCTCTGAATTGTAATGGTTTTAAAATCAGGACCAGAATCTTCAAGTTTATTAAATAATGTGAAGTTATTTTCATAGGGCACCATCACAGTTCATATTATAGAGGAATCATGCTGTGTAGAAGCCATAGACTCCTGTTGTCTCAGAGTAGGGTAACAGGGTTTAAGGACAGGCAAACCCAGCATTTTGCAATTTGTATATTAAGATTTTCCATATTGCTTCACATGGTATTGGGGAGAAATGAGCTATAACATGATACAGATGTGAATCATCTTACATGTAGAGCAAAAATTCTGGTATGTTACTGCATCTTGAGACCCAGTTTCCAGACAGAAGGAGTTCAGACAGAAACCAGATCTTGTGGTCACCAATGAACTCTGTCCATCCTGTCTTCTGTCCTCCTGAATAAGCACTTGAGCTGCATCTTTCACTTGTGTGACTTCAACGTTGGCTGCAGTTGGCTTTAACCAACATGGCTTTAAACAGGACATTTCTGGAGGAGCTGAACAAATAAACTGGATTTAACAAAATCAGATTTAACTGTCACTGGGATACACACTTCTTGAAACTTGCTAGCTTGTTCTGTAACATAATGCAATTCACATATTGATTAGGAAAAAATAGCTAAACATCCTCTTACCATCCTTTAATCCTTATTTTTATTAATGATTATTTTAGTTATGTATTTCAGAGTAATAGCTACTCAATATTTGGTAAAATGTCTTTATCTTCCATAAGTGAACTGTGTAAAAATCTGAAATTCTGCTGAAAGGTTTTAGAGTCTTAAGAGCAGCCTCTGCTGATGCTTAAGGAAATTGTTTCTCTGTTTTTCCAGAAGAGGTGATGGTTTCCATTGCATATCCATAGGAAGTCTGCAAGAACTGTTCAGCTGATGTTTGCATGGCACTTGGAAAAATATACAAGGCTTCACAGGTTATAAATGTAAAGTAATTGTGATTGGCATTAAAAGCATTGGCTACCATGAGCAATACAGCCCAACCCACGATGGCCTTTTGACCCAACAACATTCTTCGGGTGCTCCACAAAAATTTATGAAGCCCCTTCTTAAAATGTCCCTATCCCTTTCCCCTCCATCATAAATTTTAATAGTGACCTGTAACTTGAACCCCATCACGGTTCAAGGCCAGTGGCGGGGCAGGATATCCAGCGGCCCCCTGGGGTGAGACCAGCGCCCCTTGCTCCGCCCTGGTGGGATCACATCGGGACTCGGC